GGCACTACGTACAATGAGCTGAAGGGGAGGATTAACCAAAAATTGGGGCTACACGGCAGCCATGGCGTTCAACGGATGATCGCCAGGGTAGAGTCTACAGTTGGTAAGGATGCTATATTCTACATTGGTAATGATATATGTGACGATGAAGATGTGGATTGTGTCATAGATGCAATTGTGGACCGAAAATTTCAAAACTTTATTGAGATATATGTTGAAATAGACTGTGGTCAATCTTCATCTGCACCTGTGCATGGAAGTAGTCAAAGTCAAGAAGACAGAGTGGTCGGTTTATCTGCACCTGCACCTGTCTTAAGTCAGATACCACTGAGGGAAATAGACGAGGATGAGGATGGGCATGACGAGGATATGGACAGTGAAGACGATGGTGAACCCGAGAGTGTTATTCCGCTGGGTGACACCTCAGATACGGACGTAGAGGGGAATTTTGACGTTGATACTAGTTCAGGAAACTTGAGTTCCCAGGTTATGCCACCGCTCCGTGTTGACCCTGTTAGCAGTGGTAAGATTGTAATATAAAGTTTTAATTTTGCATATATATATATTTGTGTTTTCTTTCGTACTGACGGATAAGTTTAAATTTGGACGTAGGGTCTGAGATTGAGCCATTTTGGAACGACAGCCCACACTATTCGTTCATTAATTGGGCTCACCCTAATGATGAGACAGAGATATTGTATGGCGACGATGACATCCACGGTGGCTGGCATTTAGGAGATCCATTATATTTGTACCAGGAGTTTCGAACTAAATCTGAAATGCAACATGCTGTCAAATTATATTGTATGAAGTCTCATCGTACTGCTGTGGTGGCAAAAAGTGATGACCATAGATTTGTGATGAAGTGTCGACACCATAATGATGGTTGTCCCTGGTACGTGCGGGCTATGTTGCCCAAGAATGGAAATAGTTGGGTTGTTAGTAAGTGGGGTAAAAAACACACCTGCCTAAACCAAGGCCTTACTCGGGACCATAGACAGCTGGATTCTGATATAATCTGTGCAGCCATTATAAGTATGTATTACATTCATTTTTGTTTATGGTTTAATTTTTCGGTATATTTATTGATTGTGTTGACTTCGAATTTTGTATAGGTATGTTAAAAGAAGATCCATCCACGAAACCAGTTCTTATTCAGGAGAGGGTACAAAGTTTGTATGGATACAACATATCTTATAGGAAGGCTTGGAAGGCTAAAATGAAGGCCATTGTGAAGTTGTTTGGCGACTGGGAACTGCCACACTTCTGTTTGGGGGTTCTTTGTCATCTTGCACTGCTCCAGTAGACGTTTTCCAAACTTATGATTATACCCTGTGGTCTTCTTCAAGGTCACATTACCCATGGGAACATCAAAATGCTCCAATATCCTCTGAACAAGACAAGCAAATGGAAGTGCACCCTTGTGTTTGGCCTTATACATCATCCAACACACGTAGTGCCTCCAGTTCACCGAAGTACCATGTCGGATAGCCCACATGATGGGAATGTCATGCTCCAACACCCTGGAATGATTGAACGCTCGCGGAAACAAAATGTGGGTGATGACATAGTGTAGTATGCGGAACTCCACAGTAAGCAACCCCACCGTATAGGCAATGTGTTGCCCACGGACTCTCCTCTGCTCCTGCACGACATCACCGTGTGTATATCCTGGAAGTATGGTCCCGCTGTCTGCGTCATATTTCACAGTCTGCGCAGAATCAAAGTCATACCCCAGTAACTCCAACCATACCGAAGCCGTCATGATGATGTCCACCCCGCAGACCCTAGACCTCAGCTCACCGTGATGGTAGCTGAGATTATGGTAGAAGACCCGTACATGCAGCTCACAATATGAACACGACAGTTCAGCCAAGGTCCTAAGATGTGATTCCTCCAACCACCTCACAATGTTAAAACCTTCTTGTTCAAAAAAGGCTGTATCAAGTGATTTGGCCCCACAAATCGGTCGGTTAACAAAGTCACGGACAAAAGATTCATGAACCACCGGGTCATTCTCGAACAAGTATCCGAATGGGAGGTCCACAGCAGCGGGGTCTTCCTCTTGTGGCCTTGACGAAGACGGATGGTCTTGTCGTAGCTTTTGTCGTCTCTCATTTCCAGTGCTAGACGATCTTCTACGGCCAGCCATGGGAACAACTGTACCTACAATGCAAGTGGAAACAAAAATCAATGAACAATAACAATATCAAAAAATTTAAAATTCAATATAAAAAACAAAACCTAATCCTAAAATAAAACAGAAATCAGAAACCCAATCCCTAACCCTAAAACAGAAACAGAAACCCTAACCCTAACCCTAACCCTTACCGTACACCCTAAAACAGAACACAAAAACCCATTCCTAACCCTAAACACTACAACCCAAACAAAACAGCAACGTAAACCCTAACCCTAACCCTAACATAACCCTAACCCCTAAGCCTAAGGCACCACATCAACCCTAACCCTCACCCTCACAACAAACTTAGCACCCTACCCCTAACCTAAATCCACAAAACCGCAAACATAAATCAAATGCATGAAGAAAACCAAAAAAAAAACTAAACTTAAAACCAAATGCAAGTCAGAATACGTTACCTAAATGTCGATTTCGCAAGTGTGAACCAAGGAAGCTTCAATCGCACCTTCAAGGGTTGAGATTCGGACTTGGTTGGAGAGAGGGGACGGAATGCAGCCTTTTAGTCGATTAGGGTTTGAAAATAACCCCATTTGCGAAATGGGGGGGTTTTTAAAAAACCTGATCTGCGACATTTAGTCGACTAAATAATGTGCTTAGTCGACTAAAAGTGCAAACAATTTAGTCGATTAAGGTGAGTTTTTAGTCGACTAAAATTCGCGTTTCATAATTTCTGAGTTTAGCCCATTTAGTCGATTAAAAGTGCAACATAATCGACTAAATGGGGGCAGGATGGTGGATAGTTCTGGGGGAGGGGTAAATTGGTTATTAATTATTTAATTAGGAGCAAAATGGTCAAAAATGACTAATAGATAGACATGATCATTTATTCTAAAAAGAACAATAAAATAATGAGAAAGTTAGATCAATGATTTTCTTGGATTTTGTAATTTGAGTTTTATGGTCAGGCTGAATGACTACATGATATCACATCACATGAATATACAAAAACAGAAAAACTATCAAAAGAAACAAAAACAAATGCAGTGCTTATACTAATTTATTTTTTCATTAATATCATTAGATTGACATTCTTATTTTTTTATAAAAAATTACATTCGTAGTTCTTGGTTTATGTATTAATTTTATAATTTGGTGGAGTGTGGAATGAGACGCGTGTATTCTTATAAAATGTATCTTTTCATGTGTAATTTAACATGATCATGTCATGTGGGAGGATCTTAACCATTAATAATTAAATTAACGGTGATGATTGTGTAACTTCCTATCCTTATTTTTTTTTCCTCCCTTATCACCATTAACTCACCCATGTATGGTTATGATTGCCCCACATGACATAGTCATGTTAATTAGCACATGAGAGAATCCACTCCCATTCTGTAAGAGATAATGAACAAAAAAGCAAATAAAGAAAAAGGGAAATGGATCAAAATCAAGATTATTGTTCTAACACAAAGTGAGCTGTCTAACTGAGCCCTAGAATGCACTGACACGCGATTTCAAAATAAATTTGCGTGTCGGTGTGCTTTGACACATGTCTGATATGCGGTCAACATTTGGGACATGCGGTCAACGCTTCGACACGTTTTTTCGACACGCAGTCAATTTTTTTCGACACGTGATCAAAGTTCCGACACGCATTCAACACATTTTTTTTAAGGTCTAAATTTTTTTTATTAATTAAAAAAAAATTAATTTATAAGTCAACTTTTTTCTATTATGGAATTTGACATAAAAAATTAACAACGTATGAAAAATTATTTTTACTTTATATTTATGTTAAGAAATTTGAATATTTGATTGATTATATGACTTATTGTGGACTGTTTTATGTATTAAATATAAATTATATTATATATCAAAAATATTATTTAATATCAAAACGTGTCCTGACTTGTCGGAAAATAACATTATTTAAAATTAATCTGTCGACGTGTCGTATAGTGTCTTGTCTCGTGTCGATGTGTGTGTATCGTAGTCTGAGCCTGCAAAAACACATGAAAAGCAGTTGCTAGTTAACTTTATGTTTGTTCTTGATATACAATAAACGGTTGCAATGCTTATGTCGAAAAAAGACACAGGATGAAGTACAATGGAAGCAACAGCATAAACATAACTGAAGGCATAATGAACTTTTTGTGAAATGTTGAAAGAAAATATTAGTTGATTTTATTGTGTATAAACATAGCTATTGGAAATTCAAGTACGAGGAAATCTCACATACTATAGTATGAATGACTTGAAGTGGTAGGCAATCTTAGACACTAAAAATGAAAACACAAGTTCAAATGTCAATAAAACACAAGTTCAAATCCTGTTTGATAAGTCCTCTAATAAACTATTTAGGAGTTGTTATATCTAGCAGTAGAAGCATGGGTCAATAAAAATTGTTTTGAGGATCTTTAAATTTTTATTTGGGTCTTCTATCTTTTTTTTGGGTCTTCTTCCTTTTTGGTTTTTCTTCGTTTCTCATTTTCCAATCAATGAATAAGCGTCCCGTTCTGACGTGACTTTGGTCAATAGAAAATATATGTCCCTATACTAAAGCAATGACATTTTTCTTCAAAGTAATGTGAATTGAGAAGTGGAGAACTAAATAATACAAACTTTGAAAAAGGTGTCTTTCGGAAAGCTCAACTGATAAATTTTTATTGGCTTTGTGCAAGACTCTCAAAAGTGTACTCGTGTATCATGTTTGGTTTATTTCCTTTATAAGGATCTCCCAACACCAACTTCTACCATCAAGACAATATGCTATCCACTTACAAGAATCTGCACTCTTAGATTGTATTCTTAATTCTTTATCCAAAATTCCTGTTATTCCTGTTAGACTTGAACCATGGTACCCATGTTTGAAAATGGAACGTTCATCAAGATTCTAGCCTGCTGGAAGATTCCCTTCGTATTCCTTTGGGTCATTCTAACACTCTCTTCGCCTCAAGTTGCTGGTTTTCCCAGAATCCCTTCTTTGGTCCCTGCTCCCACCACTGCTACTTTTCATGATCAAGCTGTAGCTGAAGAAAGTGAAGCAAATGCTCTGTTAAAGTGGAAACACAGCCTTGAAAACCAAAGCCAAACTCTCTTGCCAACTTGGACGGGTACTACTAGTCCATGCAAATGGGAGGGAATTCAGTGCGACAAATCCGAGTCTGTCTCCAGCATAAATCTTGAAAATTATCTTCTGAAAGGTACACTCCAAACTCTCAGCTTCTCCTCATTGCCCAACCTCCTCAGGCTTAATATCTGCAACAACTCCTTTTATGGAACCATCCCCCCACAAATTGGTAACATGTCCAAAGTAATAGATTTGAACTTGTCTACAAATACTTTCCATGGTTCCATCCCTAAAGAAATATGGACATTGAGGAGTTTGCGTGGGCTTGATCTTTCCATATGCCAACTAAGTGGAGCAATTCCTAATTCCATTGCAAACTTGACCAACCTATCATATCTAGATTTAGGAACCAACAATATTTCCGGCTCCATTCCTCCGGAGATTGGAAAATTGAACAACTTAAAGCATCTAAGCATTTCAGATAATAACCTTTTCGGTTCCATTCCCCAAGAAATTGGAGTGTTGACAAAGCTTCGGTATATTGATATGTCACTTAACTCTCTCTCTGATACCATCCCCAATACAATTGGTAATATCAGCAGTTTAAATACACTTATCCTTTCTAATAACACTAAGCTGTCTGGGCCAATCCCACCCTCCTTATGGAACATGTCTAACTTGATCATTCTCAACCTTTATAGCAATAATCTTTCTGGACCAATCCCTACTTCCATAGAAAATTTGTCCAATTTGGAAGACCTTGAACTTGATGGCAACCAACTTTCTGGTTCCATCCCTTACACCATCGGAAACTTGACAAAGCTCACCATGTTATCCCTGAGCTATAATGATCTTTCTGGATCAATTCCTCCCTCCATAGGAAATTTGATCAATTTGGTTTCTCTCGATCTCCATGCAAATAATCTCTCAGGATCTATTCCAACCACAATTGGAAATTTGATAAGCCTCACCTGGCTAGGATTGTCCGTCAACAAACTTAATGGTAGCATTCCACAGGTCATGAATAACATTACCAACTTGAATTCCTTGTTCTTAGACAATAATGATTTCACTGGCCACTTGCCACCTCTAATCTGCTTTGGTGGGTCATTGGAGTACTTCACTGCTCAATTCAACCGTTTAACGGGTCCAATACCTAGAAACTTGAAGAGCTCCTCCAGTATTGCTCAACTCGCGCTTCAGGGAAACCAACTGCAAGGAGATTTAGAGCAAGATTTTGGTGTATATCCGAATTTGAATTATATTGATCTGAGTGATAATAAATTTTATGGCCACATTTCGCCAAACTGGGGGAAGTGCCCTAATCTTATTACCTTCAAGATATCCAACAACAATATTTCTGGTGGTATACCTGTACAACTTGTTGGGGCATCCAACCTTGGCAGTCTTCACCTTTCTTCCAATCACTTGGTGGGAGAGATTCCGAAGGAGCTTGGGAATTTGAAGGACTTAGTGGAACTCTACATTAGCAACAATCATTTTTCAGGAAACATTCCCACAGAAATAGGATTACTGCAGAATCTTCTAGAGTTGGATCTAGCAGGAAACCAGTTGAATGGCACAATACCAAAGGAAGTCGTGAGTTTTCCCAAACTAGTGAAATTGAATTTGAGCAACAACAAAATAACAGGAAGCATTCCCTTTGAGTTTGGCAAATCACAATCTCTTGATACTCTTGATCTTAGCAGGAATTTGCTGAGTGGAATAATACCAACAGTGCTTGGAGGTATGATTCATTTGCAATGGTTGGATCTCTCACACAATAATCTTCATGGCGCCATTCCATCCAGTTTTGATGACATGCCAGGCTTGATTTCGGTCAACATATCATACAATCAGTTAGAAGGGCCTCTTCCAAAAAATCAAGCCTTTCTTAATGCTCCAATTGAGTCATTGAAAAATAACAAAGGCTTGTGTGGTAACGTCTCTGGCTTGGTTCTTTGTCCAACCTACCACAGTCGAAAGAGCCACAAGGTGATCCTTCAGGTACTATTCATCATCTTGGGTGCTCTAATACTAGTACTTTGTGGGGTTGGAGTTTCAATATGTATTCTTTGTCGAAGAGCAAGAAACAAAGAAATCCAGACTAAAGAAGCACAATCAGAAGAATTCTTTTCCATATGGAGTCATGATGGAAAAATGGTGTTTGAAAATATCATTGGAGCTACCAATAATTTTGATGACAAATATCTCATTGGAAAGGGAGGACAAGGTTATGTTTACAAGGCTGAGTTGCCTTCGGGTCTGGTTGTTGCGGTGAAGAAAATTCATTCAGAAACAAATGGAGAGAAGCCCAACTTTAAAGCTTTTGAAAATGAAATTCAAGCTTTGACAGAAATCAGGCACCGTAACATCATAAAGCTATATGGATTTTGCTCACATTCACGGTTCTCATTCTTGGTTTACAAGTTTTTGGAAGGTGGTAGCTTGGATCAGATACTAAACAATGACACACTAGCAATTGCATTTGATTGGGAAAAGAGGGTGAATGTCGTTAAAGGTGTGGCCAATGCTTTATCTTATATGCATCATGACTGTTCACCTCCAATAATTCATCGTGACATATCGAGCAAGAATGTTCTTTTGGATTTAGAATATGAAGCACACGTCTCTGATTTTGGGACAGCCAAGTTTCTTAAGCCTGATTCACAAAGTTGGACCACATGTGCTTACACCCTTGGTTATGCTGCACCAGGTTTGTCCATTTTCCCTTGCATTTAGAAATGGAAGTGATCACACCAATACAATTTAAACCACTTTTTATATTGAAGTTCAACTTAAGGATTGGTTGACCCGCAGAGGAATAGGTCTAATCCCTAAGCAAGAATTAAAGTATGCAAAAGTGATGTGCCAATATCAATATCCATTTTGAAAATACACTTACTAAACATGTTTTTTCAATTTAAACCTATATACATTGCTTTATGTGTAACTTTAAAATTTTGATTGCTTGTAGAGCTTGCCCAGACAATGAAAATGAACGAGAAATGTGATGTTTTCAGTTTTGGAGTACTTTCTTTAGAAATCCTAATGGGAAAGCATCCAGGAGATCTCATTTCTTCGTTGTCATCATCATCTACAACATCAATGAGTTATGATTTGCTATTGATTGATGTGTTGGACGAACGGCCTCATCAACCTGTGAAGCCAATTGTTGGGGATGTCATCTTGATTGCAAGGTTGGCATTTTCTTGCTTGAATGAAAATCCATCTTCTCGCCCAACCATGGATCAAGTCTCTAAAGAGCTTGCGATGAGAAAATCACCTTTAGAGGACCAGTTCCCCTTGATCAAACTTGGACAACTCCAATAAAACATTAAACTGCTTTAAACATTTGTTTTTTCTTGTTTTCTACTATGTGTGACTCATCATTTATCTTATGTTGTAAGCTTGTTTGTTTTGTCTTTGTGTACTCATGTAGTAGTTACTAGTTATCTTTTATGGGAAGTCCTCAGTGGGATGTGAGCAAGCTGTAAATATAATTTTGCTCTACAAGCTTTGAATAAAAGTAAAGTAATGATTAACTTTTCCATTAGTCCCAAAATGAAAAAAAAAAAAAACTGATTTATGAATTAGCAGAGAAAAAAAAACTACATTAAGTACCTTAAAGTCCTTTCTCACAAGTTTCCAAAAAAGCTTATATTTAGCTTTTCCATCCTATAAAGTTGATGCTATACATAGACGGGATTAAAGCATTGTAATATAAAATAAAATGCTATGATGATGGAACATTATTTCTGGATGTCACGTGTCATGTGGGGGAGGTGCTGGAATTATAATGAAAGGTGGCTACTTTCTCGATAAGTTAGAGAGAGGAACAGGAAATGAGATGATGTCAAGCATTTTAAAAGTGAAAGTAAGCATAGCCCCGTTAATTCCCCTTTTTTACTTTGATATATATAAAAGTACAGGGGTGTGGAAAAAAACTGGTTCACTTGTCTTACTCTTGATCTGATCTTGACCTGATTCATAAATATCTTTTTTTTTTGAACTAGTTTAAATACTGACTCACTTTTATTTGGGTCAGTTTTAGACCTGATTGATTTTAATAATGACCCACTGACCCAAAACTTGATCCACACCCATTATGTGAAAAAAGAAAAGAAAAGAAAAAGAAAATCACAATTATGTTAAAAGAAAAGTTTTAACGTAAAACAATTACGTCAAAATTTTTTACGGAAAATATTTTCATAAAAAATTTTCGCAAAATTTTTGTACGAAAAATATTTTCATCAAAATTTGTGACTAAAAACATTTATGTAAAAAAAATTTGACGGAATTTGTTGTCAAATTTTTTTACGGAATCTAAATTTCGTCAAATTATTTCACAAAAAAATATATTCATCAAAAATTTCGACGAAACACATTTCCATCGAAATTTTTTGACGGAAAAAAATTTCATCAAAATTCTTTACAGAATTCAAATTTGGGCGAAATTTTTCGACAAAAACATTTTCGTTAAACTTTTTAACAAAAAAAATTTTGTGACAAAAAAAAAATTCGTCAAAATTTTTAGCGAAACACATTTTAATCAAAAATTTTCGACTAAATATTTTCGTCAAGTTTTTTGATGAAAAACATTTCCATCAAAATTTTCCACGGAACACATTTTTGTCAAAAAAATTTGTAAAAATTTTTGAAGGAAAAAATATTCTATCAAAATTCCTTAGAGAATCTAAATTTTGTCGAAAGTTTCGAATGAAACATTTCCATCAAAACAATTTTCGTCAGGACACATTCCCCTCAAAATTTTGAACGAGACGTGATTCTTTTTTCGTTTAAAACATTTGATGGAGGAAATCATTTTCGTCAAAACTTTTGACGGAAACTAAATTTGGTCGATAATTTTGATAGAAAATTTATTTTTGTAAAAATTTTCATTAGAGAAAAAATACCGTCGCTTTTCGACAAAAAGTATTCCGACGAAAAAATATTTTTGTGACGAAATATTCCACAAAAAAGATCTCTCCTCATATATATATATATATATATATATATATATATATTAACGTAAACACATATTGAGAATTATGGTTAAAAATGTACACTCCACATTAGGGAAGGATTTTTTTATTTTATTTTTTTGAGTTGCCCGCTCATTTTCTAATAAGCAAAACAAATAGTTTTCATGTCTAATGAAATAATGTGATACATCAATGGCCCAATCCATTGGGTGGAAGATGGTATTTATGTTGAGTATATTTGTATTTATGTCAAATTCCTCTTAATTTTTTATATTAATTTTTTAATTTCATAATAATTATTTATTTATTAATAAAATAAAGATAGTGAAGATCAAATTCATATCCCTTAATCACCATAACTATGATATCATGTAAAAAGTTATTTTAACTCAAAAATGTAAATTGTTAGGTGAATGTCACTCTAATAGTATTATATTAAATTTCTCTAACTGTATATTAAAATTTTATATGAGTTTGTTACGGAAAATTTTTATATCTTTCTCTCTTAATGCTGAGGTTGAATATTTAGAATAAAAAAAAACACAAAATTTTCAAATAATATAATTACTAATTATCTACTTCCTTTCTTATGGCTTATGTCCCTCTTTACAAATTCTTAGTTAGCTGAGTAGTGAGAGTGCAATAATATAATTACTAATTATCAATTTTCTCTCTTATGACTTGCGTCTATTTTTATGTTGATTCGAGGAACAGTGATCAATGTATCATATATTGATCTCTTTTTTATTAGTATATCACGCGAACAGTAATATTTGTCAAAATATCACGTCTAGTCTTAGACTATTTATGTTAAAGTCTAATTTATTTATATAGGCCTAAATTATTTAAGTTAAAGCCTAATTTAATTTAGCTTATTTACACTCATATTGATTACTAATTATCTACTTCCTCTCTTATGGCTTATGTCCCTCTTTACAATTTCTTCGTTAGTTGAGCAGTGAAAGTACAATAACATGATTACTAATTATCTATTTTCTTTCTCATGGCTTGCGTCTATTTTTATGTTGAATGGACTTCTTCCAAAGTGTCATAAAGTGGCCGGTAACAGAGCACTGAGAGTGCAATAGTTACTACTATATTTTAGACCTGTTGTCCCAGGATAGTTAAGGAGGCATGCTTATGCCTTACAGATCACACCTTTTTCATTAGACTAACGGATATTAATTTGTCGCTTTCGAACCACTTGTTCCTCCAATATTATCGAACCCAACCCGATTATTAATCCGCAGGGTATTGGATTATAGATTACTCATTCAATCGATGAATCACCGGTATTGTTTTCGGATAACCGATTGAATTGTATGATTCAAATTAGTACATGAAAGTTGTATATTTTATAAAATATGATTATATTGATAATTTTTTTTTTTTAGAAATTTACAAATTAAACTATATCTAACCTGTAATACTCTACTCAAAAATATATTATTGATCAGACATAATATAATTTGTAAGAGTTTGAAAATAAATTTTTTGTAAAATATAACATTCCTCGTATATACATCTAAAGATAAAATAAAATGAAGATGGAATAGCAATTAAAAAATAATGGAATGGATAATAAAATTAATAGTAAGTAACAAGTATTCCTCAGTGTATTTGGTTTTTCATTGAGAAAGCCAAACCATAATTTGGGCAAATTAATCTTCTGTAGGTTATTATTTGTTCGGGAACCTAAACAAATTAATCTAAAATGGTGTTATTCCTCGTATAACACCATTTTAGATTCGCGGGAAGTGCGGGTAAATGGTATCCCAAGGCAGCAGCACTTAGTCCAGTGGTCAGCTACAGTTCTAGAAGATGCATCATGGGAAGAGGCTGAGGAGCTGCGCAAGGTGTATCCAAATTTGCACCTTGAGGACAAGGTCACAGTCGACGGGAGGGCAGTTGATACGATAGCAGGAAGGGAAGTTAGATTAAGGGGTGGTCCAACATGGGTCAAGGACTTTGTCCTATAAGCCCAATGGCTCTTGTAGTATAGTTCACGATATAAGCCCAATAGCTTTGTATAGTTACGGGTTGTTACTAGTTGGGGAAAGTTAATAAAGGTAGGGGGTAATGCCAATGTGGCTTGTAAACAACTATAAAAGGAAGTTAGTTGTATGGAACGATTTTATCGAAATTCAGAAAATAACAGATTGTTCTTTGTTACTGTTTACAGACTCTTCGTCTGTATCATTTGGTGCTTTTTCATTGTTGTGGACTCCATTATTCTTCCCGAAATGAAGATGCAGGAGCTTGCTGATGAATTCTTACAATATCGAGAGCAGACTAATCAACGTTTTGAACAGTTATTGGTCACCATGAAATCATGATTTCAAGAAGTTCAATCGAACTTTCGCAAATTGATGGTGCATGGGTCAAAATCTGCAGAAACTACACCTCTGAATAGTTCTCATCACTCTCGTGGAGGTGAAAATTCGGGGGGACATCATGATGATCCCAGAGCAGTGCTGAAGTTTGTGAAGCCGGAAATACCCAAATTTGATGGGAAAGAACCAAACACATGGGTTTTCAAAACAGAGTTGTTTTTCAAGATCCAACAAGTTCCAGAGACATTCATGGTGGATCTAGCTGGGTTGCGGATGGATGGAGTAGCTGCTGATTGGTTTCAGTGGATTTCAACGAGTGGAACCATCACATGTTGGGAAACATTTATGAAGGCAGTACACGAACGTTTTGGTCCTTCCAGTTACAAGGATATTCGCGGAGTACTGGCTAAATTGAAGCAGAAAGGTTTATTGGCAGAATATATGGCAGAATTCCAGAAATTGATGAATCAAGTCACCAATGTAAGTGATGATTTGTTAATGACATTTTTTATTGCTGGCTTGCAACCAGGTCTTCAAGGGGCTATACAGTTACGTTGGCCAACCACACTGCATCAAGCCATGCAGTTAGCTATTGCATATGATAGCCATCATTGCGAGTTGAGGTCTTCTCTCACGAATCAACCAAAGAGGTCTTTTCAAAAATTCAGTATTACTAATAAGGTAGGTTCTTCTTCACCACCTTTAATGTCACAGAATAATGTTATCTCTACAACTGCAACTGAATCATTAACAATTAAGAAATTGTCTTCTGAGGATTTACAAAAAAGGAGGGAGTTAGGATTGTGTTATACATATGATGAAAAATGGACCAATAAACATCGTTACAAATCCAAGATGTTATTCATGATTGTAGATGAGGATGAACCAGAATGGGAATCTGAGGAAGAGATCTTGTGGTGTCAAAATGATAACCAAGGCTCTAGAATAGATGCTGCCTTACATTCCTTGTCGGGTCCTGCAGATGCTAGATCATTGGTTCTGATAGCAAAGGTTAACAACCGAGAGGTTCAAGTTTTGATTGATTCAGGCAATTCACATAGCTTTAT